GCCCTTCAGAATGAGCCTCCATGCAAAAGCCCACCGTGGTCGGCCTGAGCCACCTCAGAGTGAGCCTCAAATTCCAACTGGCCTAGGTGGCCCCTCAGAATGAGCCTCGATGCAAAAGCCCACCATGGCCGGCCTCAGCCACGTCAGAGTGAGCCTCCATGCAGACAGCCCACCATGGCCGGCCTCAGCCACCTCAGAGTGAGCCTCCATGCAAAAGCCCACCATGGAAAAGCCCACCATGGCCACCTCAGAATGAGCCTCGATGCAAAAAGCCCACCATGGCCGGCTTGAGCCACCTCAGAGTGAGCCTCAAATTCCAACTGGCCCAGGTCGACTACCGAGTTTTCGAGGTTTCGAGGTTGCTTCCAGCGAACAATCGCCAGCAGAGAGAGGGTCCAGGTGTCCAGGTTTCGCTTCGAGCGGCTAGTCGCGAGCGAGTGGGGTGTCGAGGTTGCTTCTAGCGGACTATCGCGAGCAGGCGGGTCAGTCAGGTTTCCTTCCCGCGTCCAGTCGCGAGTAGAGAGATAACATCACCGTCAGAAGTTTTCATCTAGTTGTATCAAGATCTCATCAAGATCTGATGGAGTCTCAGTTGGAAAGATCGAGTCGAGCGCTCAGACCCTGTCGACTCGAGGTCAGGCAAGGGCTCAGAACCTGTCGGCGAGCAGAGCGCAAGAGAGAGAGAGAGAAACCATGTAGATTGTCAGCTAACAAGAGAACTAAGGAGAGAAAGAAGGAGAGAGAGGGGAAGGAGTGAGTAACAGCCTTATTGTTATACTACCCTGAACAATCAGGCAGCCATCTCAGTCACGTGATGCCAGGCTCCAACTCCCCCTTGGGGTAGAACCTTATCCAGCATCCACACCAATTTTTCTCCTCTCCTCCGCCATAAAATAAAGCATCACCAGTACAGACGCGCTCGAAATCAGTTTCACCTGTTTAGTCTCTTCAATTCTTTGTTGAACTCTGTTTTGCATGACGCCATACCTTTTACGGTTAGTCTACCTCTGACTCACACTCTTGGCAGTAACTTAGTACGGTAATCAATAACGGCATAAAAATAGTTATCGTATCATGGTCGTATAGGCCTTGCCTTAACTTGCAAATAACCCACCAGACCAATTGGCAGGATTCGGTCAGTTGTCTGGCCACTACTCTTCTCTCACCTTGGTCAACCACGTTCAGTCTGCTAGCATAGTGGATTAGCAAGACATACGTAGATACAATATTGGTGGAGTGAAATATCTTTTTACAACCGACTTTCCGTCATACAAATTGCTGGATTCCCAAGGTCTCACCATCTCTGAACCCTGGGAGACCCCAATATGCTGAATCCGGTTTGCTAGGAAATTGAGAACGATGATTAATCACTCCCATCCCAACGGTACAGTAAGGAAATTCGAGCGCATGATCCCGAATCCTCAGACCAGGTTTCGCAAAATGCCCCGACTCCAGGACATCATGAACATGCGCCACTCGGAATATAGAATCATCCCTTCACAACTGAATAAAGAAGAGAACATATTGGTGGAACAGTCGATCTGGCAGGCTGTCTATATCTTGATGCGTGGCAGCGAACAAATTTGTCGATGTGACATGAACAGGAGAGGTATATAAGACAATATAATATTAACACTGATCAAAGGCCGGGTATGGGACACTGGTCTGTGAGACCGACAAATATGACACGACCAGATGAACAGCCGATCGCCAAAGTTGATGCAGAAATAGCGAAAAGAGAGGGATGGGTTGGTCGATATTCGACAGGCAACCAAAGGAGGCTGACTCCATTATAGGTTATCCAGGAACAGTCATCATTCAAGGCATATCCGTATGGCTTGGGCAAGGTCGCACAACAAAAAGTGGGCGTAATGGGATCGATGGATCCTAAATCAAATGTTCCAATTGACGTGTGTAGATGATTGAAATTGACCATATCAAATTGAGCAAAATCGGAGGAGCTGATATGGAGGGTTGTCGCGCACTGGCCTGTGACCGGATCCCAGATTTTGATGGTGTTATCATCTGACGCCGATGCGAGTCTGCTACCATCTTGCGACCAGGAAATTGAGATGACCCAGCCACTATGGCCCTCGAGGGTTGACGCGCACTGGCCGGTGGCCGGATCCCAGATCCTGGCGGTGTAATCAGAGGAGGCTGATGCGAGTCGGCTTCCATCTTGCGACCAGGAAATCGAATTAACCGAATCGCTATGCCCCTTAAGGGTTGAAGTGCACTGACCGGTCACTGGATTCCAGATTCTGACGGTCTTATCGTAGGACGCTGATGCGAGTCGGCTTCCATCATGAGACCAGGAACTCGAGATAACCCAGCTATCATGCCCCTTTAGGATTAACGCACACTTGCTGGTGACGGGATCCCAGATCCTAATAGTGGTATCATCTGACGCAGATGCGAGTCGGTTTCCATCTTGCGACCAGGCAATCGAAACAACCGAATCGCTATGCCCCTTAAGGGTTGAGACGCACTGGCCGGTGAGCGGATCCCAGATTTTGACGGTCTCATCATTCGACGCTGATGCAAGCCGGCTTCCATCTTGTGTCCAGGCAATCGAGTTAACCGAGTGGCTATGGCCCTCAAGGGTTGACGCGCACTGGCCAATCGCCGGATCCCAGATCCTGACGGTGTTATCAGAGGATGCTGATAAAAGTCGGCTTCCATCTTGCGACCAGGCAATCGAGTTAACCGAATCACTATGCCCATTGAGGGTTGACACGCACTGACCGGTAGCCAGATCCCAGATCCTGACGGCCTCAGAGGATGCTGAAGAGAGTCGGCTTCCATCTTGCGACCATGCAATCGAGTTGACCCAGCCATTACGCCCCTCGACGGTTGACACGCACTGGCCGGTGGCCGGATCCCAGATCCTGGCGGTGTAATCAGAGGAGGCT